TCATATGAGTTTTTCACGACTGGTTGCCAACTTTTAATTAAAAACAGAAAATTCTTATGTCAGACTATGGTAGAGTATAAATTTATGTACAAATATATCCAAATCATGTTGTCGTCCAGCTTGGATAAGTGTCATTAAGGTTGAAAAATGCCCCAACATGCAGTGCCTCGTGTCTCAGTGCCTGCCCACTAACCGATCGACGAACCAATCAAGTCAGTCACACGGTAAAAAATTAAATTTCATTCAAAAATATTATTTAAACATATTCTAGGATGCTTAATTCTATTTAAGGTTCAAAGAACTTGACAATAAAGTAAGAAAACTTAACTAAACATTTTTTGTTTTTTTTTTCAGAAAACTAGTTTATATCTTGTGGTAACTTTTTCTGTAGGTTTTGTCTTGCTTATTGAGTTTTTCAAAAAAGTTGTTGTTTTGCTGGCCAACCAGCTACCTGTTTTTCTGCTTGCTGCTCTGAACTTTAGAGTCTGATGCGCGACAGTCTGTGAAACCTCTAGAAGGGCAGGCAGATCGATCGATCTACCCCGTGCAGTGGAAATGACCCCTGACCTTCCAGATTTAGAGATGGCGATGGACCAGATTAGATACCAACAGCTGCTCTTAACCCAAAGGGTGGGTCAGAAGAAGGGCAGGACAACAGGGATCTCTCAGTTGGCTGAACAATAAAAGCAACTGGTCCTTTCACTACACTCGGAAAATATAGGATATCAAATAAACTATAAGAATTTTAATAATGAATGATAAGATGACAAGCTTTTCTAAAAAGTAAGAGGGAAACCTCGATATCTAATAGAAAAGGTATACGTAGGACTCCCAATAAAGTTGTCTTATATTTTTATTTTTCGAGTGTAACCCCTCTTTACTCGTCAATACCTAAAACTGGAGAAAAGCAGGCAGCCGAAAAATTCATTCCCAAAACATTTTTAATATGCACGCATGGTGACCCGTGGTTTTCTCCAACCCTTTGCCTGATTTGCAGTTCATTGCGAGATACTCCTGGTAGGTCCTGGTTCAGGTCCAGGTCCTGGATGGATGGTCCGGCTAGACAGCTGTCCTGCCCCCTGCCTCTGGCCCTGTAATTACACAGGGCATTTGCTTGGCCTTTGTTTTGTGTTCGCGTTTTTTTTCAAACTTATTTCCAGCCATTCGACGCTGCCTTGTTTGCATATCCCGGCATCCCGTAGAAGGATAAAGGCGCGCGCTTAAATAAGCAATTACCGTGTGCCAGCGACCAGCATCCTGCCAATGGCCTGCCCAGCGTCCTGCCCGACCAAAAAAGGGTTGAGGTTGACGTAGAGCCACTCGGCCAGGACAAAGCGCCGAAAAAGGATTTCAAAAAAAAAAGGGGAAGAAAAAGCAGCATAAAAATAAAACCAAAAAGTACATATACATGCCCGGCTGTCGGTACTGATTTAAATCTTTGGCCATGACATGTGGCCGCCAGACAAGGTCCAACCCAGATCCCCCTCTCCTCTTTTCACCAGGTCCTGGTTTTAATTTACATTTTTTAGACATTCCAAAAACCAGAAAACCAACCTAAAAATCAATAAAAACCGGGCTTTAATAAACGGTCGCAGCAAGTTCAAGTTCAACACTTGATAATTAATTTGCCAGGGCCAGGGTGAAAGTAAAGTGCGTGCCCGGCTCATTAGCATAACCCCCTTGGTGTCCTTCGTGTCCTTGCTGGATGCCATGGAAAAAGGTCGCGTCGACTCGGGTCGGGTCATTGTGCTTTTAATTAGAAAACATTCCAAGGGCAGAAGAGGATGGCCAGCAACAGAGGAGCAAGGCCACCAGAATGAAAACTCATTAAGATTTCCGCATAACCCTTTTGCCGCGTCGCCTTTTGCTGACCCAGTTTTTCAGGCCAGCCATCCGGCTGACCTTCTTGTCCGGTTTCCGTAATTAAGCAATTAGCTAGAAAACACTTTCGCCCTGCGGCTCTTCCCCTTCTGCAAATTTGTGTGTAACTGACCCACGGCAAGATGAAGTGCTTTGGGCCAGGTGGATGTACATATGTATGTTTTTTGTATCAAGGGGATACCCCTGTTTTGTTGCTTTTTGTTTTTTTTTTTTTTGTCTTTTATCGGTGGCCATGAGTCTGCACTTCCTGTCATTCGTTTTGGAAATCGCGACATCGTGATTGCATTTGGCATATGTGCACGTGATGCTGACTGGCCCCCTTTTTCCTCAGTCCTAGCATCATTCCCCCTGTCTGCCAGCTGGTCAGAAGGCCAAACAACTGGCCATTGACCAAGTGCAGTGGCGGTGGCAGTCGTTGCAGCTGCCCCGCATTGACACATTTTTAACTATATTTTGAGCACTTGGGACTGGGTTCCCACGATCTCCTAACCCCCACGCAATGTTCGGGATTTCAATTTAAATACTAAGCATATATCCAGGTTTATACATCCAAGGATACTTTAGTAAATCTTTGATTTTATCTCATAATTTGTTCGAATGAATTATTATTTTTATGCATTAACTTTAACTTTTTTAAAGGATCTAATAGAACACTTCCTTGGGTACTTTTCCTCCCTTGGCATTCTTGGTTCTTGGAATCCACATATTTTTAAGAATTCTTGAGCTTCGAAAGGCAGCTGCTTTAATTTTATGTTTTTTTAGTTATGCTCGTGGCTAAAGGACTTAGATCAAGGTTGAAGGATGTCCTCTTGATCGCATCTGTGAAGCTTGATTTATGGTAGAATGCCTCGCTAATGTCCTTTCGCTGTTGGCCAAGGGACAGGCACATAAATAAGATCTTGTCTCAGATAGTCAAGCAGACGATAGGACAAGCCAGACAACGTGACTTCTTGCCGTCGACTTAAATAGTCGACTAATAAGGCACAAAGTTGATTTGGCCATTTATTGAATTATACTACATTTTGTCTTTGTTTTCTCTAAGGAAGCTCTCTAAGGAAGTTGCTGCAATATGTATGTCCTTTAAGAATTTTAAAACCCTATGGTTATAGTGCCTGAATCCAAAAGTAAAGGCCTGGATGCTTTATGGCTGTTTACCATCGTATTATGTTCCCCGGCTTGCCGGTTGCTTGATTTCATGAGAGGCAGCTCTTGCGCCGAAACCAACTGAACCGTTGGTTCACCGGCGGCCAGGGCAAAGGTCATGGGTGGAGTGGGCTCAAAGGGGGGCAGGACATGGCCTAGCAACAATTGTGGCGCTGTGAGCCTACATTTTGTCCCTTTGCCGTCCCGGTTGCCAACCGCAAATACGTTCCCGATCTCAGTCGGATGTTTTATATATTTTTTTTCAACATTTCCTGGGCTGCCATGGCAAAGTCAACTAATTGAATGTGCCAAGCTTCACCCACACAAGTACAAAATAAATCGTAGTATGGCGCATTAAGCGCTCATTTCTAGATTTCCTTCCCTCGGCTATAATGATTTTGCATCCAGGAACTTTCAGCTCTATAAATGTATGCACTGAGAAAATATGATGATTGATTCTTTTTTTAATATACTAATTATAATTAATATAATTATAGTTCTATTCATGATATTTAAGGCTATATATTCAAAGTACTTGAAGTACATTGCCATTTCTTCCTTTAATACCTTGGTGGATATTTTTTCTCCGTGTGAAGTGAAAAATCCAACTTTGATGATGATGAGGAGTCCTCCATTTCTCGCTGCATTTGTATGGGTAATTACGCTAGTAAATGCTCTTGTGTGTGTGTGTGTGTTTGAGGGACGTCTGCTTAATGTCCGTGGCCATGGGGTGGATTTCGTTCGCAGTTTTTTTCTATATACACTGTTTTTAGCATTTTTTTCAGTTTCCGGCTCTCTCTTTCTCGCCCACAGCCATCGCTCACACTGCCCACATTTTTTGCGTTGGAAACCGCCATTTTTTTTATGCGCCCTAACTACGCCGCCCCGTCCTTTTCACTCATCTACCCTTGACTACCACACCCTCCATGGAGGACGCACCCTCGCACTGGAATTTCGCGCATTAGAAAAAAATGTGGGCTGTGTTTTGTGGTCTGTGGCAGTGTGAGGGTGAGAGCCACTATGTGGCATACAAAATGGATTTTTTCTTGATTTCTAGCCATGTTGATTCAATTTAATAATAATAATCCAGCATTTAGAAATATATTTAAATAATCCTAATTTTCGCCCTATATGGACTAACTTTAAAAAATAAAACAAAGTTTTTTGAATTTTGTCTTCTTTTTAAGAAATTTTCCATTTCCATATAAAACCTTTTAAGGAAGAGCAGAGGATTATTTTATAAATAAAAACAACAACCATTATATAAAAATAATTAAAGTTGACTAAAATGAAACTTTTACAAATAAAAAACTGTATATTTCCTTATAGGAAATGAATAAATATTCATAACTTCATTTAAGTATATAGTTTGTATGAGTTTTAAATTCTACCAAAAGTTTAGCATATACGAAAATAAAATTTAATAAATGATTTAGCTAAGATATTTATAATTATATTTATTTAAAATAAATATATTTTAGCTAGATGAAGCGACATCTACTGCATCTTAAAACAACCACTTGTTATGGTTGGTATGGTTTGTAACTTGGCTAAAAATAAGGTTATACTATAAAATACCATAATGCCCACACTTTTTGCTTTATGATATCGATATGTCGATATAAATTCGTAATATATATACATAAAACATTAAAAATCTTTGCGTAAATTGTTTTATTAACATTGACATTTTCTTTTATTTATATTTTTGCACATATAAGCAAACTTTGCCAGAAAGTTGTCAGTTTGAAAAAGTGTCCGAGACCCAGTGTTGTAAAAGTATCCAAAATTACGTTTCCTTTATTTTTAAAGGATTTTCGAAAAGTTATAGAGAATTACTTTTTTTAAAATAAGTATAAATCACAAATACATTTTTTTAAATAGTTAAATCAATAGAGCCTTCAAATTCAAATTTTTACAGCTTGAAGTAATTTAAAACCGCCATACTTGGCTAGAAAAAGGTCATTTTGTCAACACTATATATATCCATATTTGTTGTGTTTTTGAGTGGAATTTGTACACTGCGTGAGGACAGTAATAAAAAATTCATTGATCAAAACCAAACAGAATTGTTGCGGTTTCGAATCGGCTGGAATACGTCCCCGGAAGTGCAACAAGATCAGGGCACGGGGAGGAAAGGATCAGGTCAAGTTCAACGAAAGAAATCCGGTAGTTCCCACAGAATGAAGAGCAATTTGGACCAAGGGGGATATGCTCCTCCGGGCTATGCGCCAGGATACCCACCTCCGAATGCACCACCCGCCGAGGGATTTGGCGGATACCCCCCACCCCCGCAAAATGCCCCATACGTCCCGCATCCCGGAAGTCAACAGCCGCCGCCCTTGAATTACGTGAGTCCCCAAAAATTATCTCATTTTTTTCTGTTTTTTGGTATTTCTCTTCGTCTTTAGGGGGGACCGATAGGGGTGCGCCTTGTGGGTGTCTCGAGAGAGGAGGCGTTGCCTTCAGACACGCCAACCATGACGTCATCTGCAGCAGTTGGCTTTCCGCCTATTTATATTCCTTAATCACAAAATAAACACAAATACGTATTCGTTACTGCACATTGGCGAAATCGGTTGAAACGGGGGCTGAAATCGGTATATAAACCCACAACAAATGGTTTTATTCATTTCGCAGAGCAAACATTAAATTAAAACTTGATAACAGTATTCTTTAGGGAGGTAATACTATATGTAATAAAAGAAAATATAAGACGATAAGATGTATTATTCATTTGAATGAGTATATTTTACCATATTATGAATCATTGGAAAATTCTTAAAGAACGTTTTGTACTTATAATATTTAAAAAAAAACTGTAAAGTTAAAACTTTATTATAAAAGTACTTATCAAAGTTAATATACTATTAAAATCATTCCGGCATTAGAGAATGTGCTGCAACGAGTATTTCAGGTTTCATTGGAATAATAATTAATTGTTTTTTATCTAAAATCTTTGGTAAAGCAAATGTAATTAGTGGAGATAAGCAAAAATAGCTTTTGACGGTGCACGCCAGGGAATCCAATACCAAACTCAACGCCCCTTAATCCAAAATTTTTCATTCAACTCCCGATCGTTTTAGGGGTTTGTACCAGGCCAGCAGCCAGCCGGATACGCTCCAGTTCCCCAGATGCCAGCATACGGAGAGGCAGTTCCTTTTGGAGCGGGTCAACCGCCCTATGTGGGCGGAGGGCCTCCACCCCAGGCATTCGGGGGCTATCCACCCGGCCCGGCAGGACCACCGCAACCATATGGAGGATATCCGCCAGGACAGCCACAACAGCCCATCGTCTCCCAGCCGGGAATGGGACCAGGAATGGGTCCGGGAATGGGACCAGGAATGGGACCCGGAATGGGTCCGGGAATGGCTCCGGGAATGGCTCCAGGAATGGGCCCTGGTGGTCCAGCCGGTAAGAAATACAAGTCCAAAAAACCCTTTAAAGAATGGTGCTTAGTGCAGAACCATTATCTCGCAGTTACTTTCCCAGTTATGTCCCACATGTTAAGTAACACGATTAAAATTATTATCAAAAGACAATATTTTCATGTTAACATTTCTGTACGATGATGACGTTCAGAATCCGAAGATCAAAACAAAAGTGCCTCTTTGTTTTCCAACCGTGTCATTGCCCTGAATTTGAGATAATGTCCAATGCCTTTAGATTTCTTGGAGTGCATCCAACGAACCCATTATACCAGTTAGAGGTGCTAACAAAGAATACTCTACGTGAAATGCAAACATTTGACTAGGCGGCTTAGAGGTTGATATTTTCGAGGTTTTTAGGCCTCCGCGTCAGTTATCGCAGTTTCTTGTTTGTGTTTACACGTGCCGCTGATCCGTCCCAGTCCCAAGTCCCACAAGATCCCAAATCTGACATCCCCCGTCAGGTCTTTGGCGCTTATCGGAAAGCGGTCCGTCTGCCTTAATTGAACCAATAAAATAATACAAAGCGGCATTTAAAACACGCCCGTCGGCCCCATCATGGTCGGCGATGATTTTTCCCGGTCGACCGACGGCGATGCTTCAGTTAGTTAGTCTCAGTGTCGCAGAACAGTCGGTCGTGTCAGTGCAGAAAGCCGTCTAGAAAAGAAAATGTCCATCGAACAGGCCACAAGTGGCGTCTCGGGTTGCATTTCCACACTGGATCTCAGTGGCAACTGCGGCGAGGGGGACTCGTCGAGGGGCACTGGCGCCAAGAGTGGCTCCAAGGTGCTGCGCTTTATTTGGCATTCGCTGTACAGCCAGTACAGTAGTCTCTGCTCGAGGTCGCAGACTCTGAGGCAGTTGGTCTGCCGGGAGGCCAACAAACCGCTGCCCAAGAAGCTGCGTCACTCGATGCGACTAAACAAGTCGGCCAAGAGAAAGGGCTACGAGTTCTACATAAGCGACGAGGACAAGAGGTGAGAGGGGTTAGCCACATGGATATTTGAGATTAAGTGGATGGGCTAGGGTTCGTATTATTTTTTGTTTCGATATCTATACCTCAGAGATAGCTAACAGATATCCCCAATTATGTAAAATAAAATCAAGGTTACTTTACGTTGTGAAATTAAAGATATAGAGACGAGATATAGCTCGTCTTTTAAAGTCGGCTATAAAAGCTTATCTTCCTCGCGCAGATTAGATATACAATAGCCATGATACATGCACTAGTATAATGCCTTGGGGATGAGGAGTGGCTTTGAGAAATTCTGGAGGGGTCATCATGGCAATGGCTTCAATTAGAGATACCGAGTAAATGTAAAGGCGACATTGACCAATTGACACACTGGACGAGAGATGCCCTTTGTGCGCGTTAATTCAATTACACGCTTAGATTACTCCAAGATTTAGTATTTGGATGCATAATAAAGCATTTCTCAACCGATCTTTCCTCAGGCGACTGGATGAGTATACCTTCCGGAATTCCGAATTGTCCGCGCGGATTGGAATACCTTACGACTATCGACCAGCTTTTGGTTAAGCAAAAGGTCGAACTGCTCGAGGCCTTCACCGGCTTCGAGACCAACAACAAGTTCTCGATCAAGAACGCCCTCGGCCAGAAGGTCTACTACGCGGTGGAAGACAACGACTGCTGTACCAGGAACTGTTGCGGACCGGCCCGTCCATTTGACATGAAAGTGTTTGACAACTTCCAGAATGAGGTGATCCACATGCACCGGCCTCTGGCCTGCTCTTCCTGTCTGTTTCCATGTTGCCTGCAAAGCATCGAAGTCTCGGCGCCCCCGGGCAATGTCATCGGTACCATTGAACAAGAGTGGTCCATTTGCTCGCCCTCGTTCCGGATTCTCAATCATATTGGCGATACTGTCTTGCGCATCGAAGGTCCATTCTGTACCTTTTCTCTATGCGGCGATGTGGAGTTTAATGTGAGTGGACTAGTAAAGATTATATTTAAGGCTTGACTAATGGTTATGAATTAAAATTTTCTTTCAGGTGGTGTCTCTAACTGGCGAGAAGGTGGGCAAGATCTCAAAACAGTGGTCTGGTCTGGCCCGAGAGATCTTCACAGATGCGGACTTCTTTGGAATCAGTTTCCCATTGGATCTGGATGTGCGCATGAAGGCGGTTCTCTTGGGAGCCACATTCCTGATTGTAAGTATTTTGTGGTTTTGGATGTATTTTTGGATTAACCGGCATCTAACAATCGTATCTTTTTAACCCACAGGACGCCATGTTCTTTGAGAAATCCGGAAACCAAGAAACTGATAGACCCGGAATGTTATAAGCTAGCCTCGACTAGAGTTGCGATGTGGAAACTTTCCATCAGAGTTCAAAATGAAATACTTTCAATCTTTGTACATCCGCCGGTAAAAAATCTGTAATTACATCTTTTCCCTGTGAACTATCGCGTACTAGTCCCCAAAACCAAATGCTTGTTGATCGTTATGAAGTTGAAAGCCAACTATAAAACGAAACTACTTAAACTCAGGCGTCCTTCGATGGGCCATCGCCAGTACAATTATAGCTTAGACATTTAAGTTTATGAAGCATTTTTTGCTATTTCTCCAACACAAACTTTTCAACGACAAATCTGCTTCCTTTATGAATTTACATCTATGCAGAAAATATTAACAAAATGAAACTGGTACTTCTAAACGTTACTTGAGTGTCTTACATATTTGTATATTTATAGACCTCAATACTGATAAGCTGAAAGAAACATTTATATGAATACTTTATTGTTGTACCCAGATATACGTGTAATGTATTGTGTATACTCCTTTGGTATTATTTCGATAGTTGAATAAATTTTTGAAGTACTATACTTAATGTCTGCTTAAAGTCAATTTGCTTATCTTTGATTTTCCCATCATTATCAATTTTTAATTTTTATAATTTTTGGTTTGTTCTTTCTGTCATGTTCCTAATCCCACTTCAAAAATGTATAAAATTAAAAAATTAGTAATAGTAAAGCCCAATGGATTGCTTGAGAGACTTGGAGACGGTCGTGGTTAGCAGGCTCGCCATCTCCCTCGACTTCCTTTGGCCTGGTAGCAGAAAGTATCTTGTAACTGATGGCGATGGCAAGAAATTGATGATTGTATTCCAGGACGACAGCTTTACCAGTCTGCTGTTACCTGATTCCTTTATGACGGTTGTGATTATGAACAACGATATACGGCAGGTAATGCAACTGGACCGACCAAAGGAGATGTTTAAAGTGTCGAAACTGAACGTTTTTGCTCCATCGACTAGACATATTGGCTCGGTCAGGAACAGGTCCTTCTCATTGTTTAAGCGGAGATTGCGGGTCTTGGACGCTGGGCAAAAGGTGCTGTATAACATCAGAGGACCCATTTGCGCAGGCAAAGTGGAAATCCCCTACAATATCTATAATCGTGAAGGGAAAAGAGTGGGGACCATCAAAAGAAAAATTGGCCAACTCCCAAAAGCTTTCATCTTAAATTGCGACTTTTTTGAGTTGTCCTTTCCCAAAAACATGTCTGTTATCGACAAATCCCTCCTACTGAGTGCCATATTCTACTTGGTAAGACCTCGGTTCTTATAATTGTAAATAAAATATTTATAATAATGTTATTTTTTTCTTTCAGGATATTCTTTATCCCAACGACCAAGGAGGAGGAAGTATTTAATTCTAATGTGCTTACTTGGCGGTTCATATTGTAATATAAAAATAGAATATATTTCATTCCTCGATTTGTTTGCTATATATTCTTGGCTCCCTGGTAAAGCTTATCACTCTGAAAAGGGGGGTCTTAGTACACGTATTCGATTCGGTCACACTGGTCTGGTCTGATAGAGCTATATGCCCGCAGATATAGCGCTAGACCGCCTCCAGCTCCCATCTCTAGTCGTTGTCTAGTAAATATTTTTATCACGCGTGCGGGTGTTGTTTTTGCCGGTAAGTGAGCTTTTTTGATATATATATATATATATATGTATAGGTATAGTTTATGTGCGGAAGGATTTTTTATTTACAACCCCCTGTGGGTATTCAAAAAATAGGCAAGGAAAATAAATATATATATTTAATATGACCTCATTTGTGTTTCATACCATATTTTGGTTCATTGACCCTTATCTCTTGTTGTATTAGGGTTACGATTAATATTATACTAAATATTCTTTAATATAGTATCAATTTTATAAGAAGCTATTGTTGTATACTACACTAAATTCTCAGATCTAAGATTCCAGCGCGATAAGAGTTTATATCAAAACGGAAATTAGTGTTGATTGAAATTAATTGGCCCTCAATATTGGCCACAACTTTGGTAATTTTCGGCAACATTCCCAGACATTCGTTAATTAAACTTTATTATATGTGTCTATAAAATGTACATCTTTATTAATAATTATTGTTTAACATTCTCTTTAGATTAAAAAATGGAAGCTTTCGCCAATTTGGAGACGGTTCTTGTCAAGCAAAAACAATCCGGCAGTATATTTAATTCAAATCGAAAATATGAAGTTTTCCTTCCCAATGGCCAGCAAGTTCTCTACGCCTCTCAGGACAATGACTTCGTGGATCGAAATTTTCTTCCGGCACACCATATGACAATAAATGTGACAACGACGCCTGAAAAAAAAGTTGTAATGCACGTGGCCCGACCAGAGGATGTTTTCTGTGAATCGAAGGTCAAAGTTGATGTCTTTGGGCCAACAGGAAATTTTCTGGCCAGGATCAAGCTGAAGAGTAAAGTTTTCACGGCCAGTTATAAAGTCGTCGACGACAAAAGGAATCTTCTGTTCAAAATTGAAGAAAATGGAGCTTTTCAACCTGAGTACATAGTATGTTTTTGTTTTTACCCAATATTGAGATATAATTAATGGAGGTTTCTCTTATTTTCCATAGGTGACTAATCCTAGGGGCCAGGAGGTTGGCAGAATCAGCAAGAAGTTTGCAGGACTCTTTCAGGAAATGTTTACTAGTGCTGACAATTTTAAAGTCACCTTTTCCCCAACTGCCAATGTGGAAACTAAGGCGATTATTTTTGGTGCCACACTTCTGATTGTGAGTTTTGCATTAAAAATATTAAATAAATAATCTACAATTTCATTTTTTACACTCTAGGATGCCGTTTCCCATGAATAAACTAAATTAAATTTTAAAAAATCCTAGTACTTAATGGTACAAAGGCTATATTTTACGAGATGCCATATTCTACAAAGCAAGTTTTCTAATTAAAATATGTTTCATATTCTTATGATGTTTTTCTTTTAGGCCAAAAGATAATTAGACCAAACCCTACCTCATTGTTAAATATTTTTTTAATAAGTTATGTTGTATTTTTTATAAACATATCTGTAAATAAACCTGTTGCCATAAACTAGTAATTGTAAATTTTTTAAGAACACCCTTAGGTCTAGAATCTAGATCACCGGAGAACCTCTTAATTTGGGGGAATATCTGACTGGAAGTGGAAACCGGCTACATGACCGGTTTATTTCGATTAAAAATAAACTCAAATTAACGCACTGCACGCGCAGCCAGTTTGTTTTGCAGTTCAGTTCTTAAAATGCAGGCGATGCGTCTGCTGCGTTGTATCTTTAAGTTTGAAAAGTATCTGACTAGTATTCTTCTAGTCATCAGTATCTATGGTGTATCCACAAAGGATCTGCAGGAATGTGAGCATTTGGGAAATGCTAATTACCTGTGCCGGGAAATCGAGAGCTTTGAACAACTGAGCCGGTATGTGGGAAACAATTGGCGGAGTGTGAAAATCGTGAATGAACAGACAGGCCTTGAAAATGAATTCGAGACAAAGCTTCCAGCTCTTTCGGGTCTTATCCGATTAGATTTGGCCAAGTCCGGAGGAGTTACCTTCAATGGTAATGGTCTGCAGGACTTTACGGAGCTCCAAGAGCTGAATCTCACCCACTGCCAGTTGGAGGAACTGCAGGAGAGGCATTTTCCAATTGGCTCTAAAATTGTGAGCCTGGACGTGAGCTTCAATGACATTCAACTTATAACTGCCCAGAAGATGAGTCGCTTGACTAACTTGGAGTATGGAAACTTCTCCAACAACCTGATTGCCGAAATAGAGCCAAACTCGTTCAGGAATCTCAAGAAACTGCGCTTCCTAGACTTTACCACAAATGAACAGGAAAACATTACCATAGGGGAGAATGCCAACCTGCAGTATCTGTCTATAAGTAACAACAATGTGAGAGATGTAAGTGTATTCCTTAGGAATTCTTTTAGTGGAGGTATTAAATACTATTTTAAACTCTCTAGTTTCATTGGTGTCAAATGCGTGGATTGCCCAAACTGGAAGAGCTCCATCTGCACAGCAATTGGTTGGAAAATCTGGATAGTGGTATCTTTTATCACTTACCCAAGTTGAAGGTTTTAAATGTGTCCAACAATAACTTATACGAAATCAAGCGACCTCTGTTTATGGGTCCCAAAGATCCCATGCCCCTGGAGTTACTTGACTACAGTTCGAATAATGTAAAAATACTGGAGGATTCGGTTTTCTGCAGGCTGGGTAACCTGAAGACCCTGAATCTCTGGCTCAATCTGATCAACAGAATCCATCCTCGGGCTTTCGTGGGTCTGACTAGCTTGCAGTCTCTGCAACTTCAGGGAAACAAAATATCCATTCTTCCAGATGAAGTTTTTGCCAATCTGACTTCCTTGGAGGGAATAGATTTAAGCAGAAATAACATCAAAAAGTTGGGTGCCCGGGTCTTTGGAGATACTCTCCTGCGGCGTTTCACCAAGTTGGATTTGAGTAATAATAATATAATGGATCTGCATCCTTTGGCCTTCTCCTCGCTGCCTTTTCTAAAGGAACTTCGGCTTAAAAGAAACCGCTTGGTCAGTCTTGATATTCGACTCTTTGCTCCCTTACGGCGTTTGCAGTTTCTGAGCATCGGCGAGAATCGCCTGGAGGAGATCGAGGACGACGTCCTAGACACATTTGAGCGCCTAACTCATCTGGAGATTAACAACAATCGTCTGACATATCTGCCGGACCTGAAAAATTCATCCTATCTCCAGAAACTTGAACACATCAGTGTCGAGGGAAATCCGTGGCAGTGCTTGTGCCTGGACGAGATTACCGCCTGGCTGGATAGACGCCAGGTGGCCTATGCTCGACCCAGTAGTGCCTATTTTAGCGGCCGAAAACCGCTTTGCGTGGTCACTCCAATGGAAAAGTGCCTCCGTGATCTCGAAGAAGTGCGATCTCAGGCAATTGTCGAGAGCTACGAGAAGATTTAGTTTCTACTTAATTTATTAAGCTCTTTTAATCATTAAATTTTATTTTTTATTAGAAGTAGAAGATTTGTATTTCTACTCTCAAGAACTGTATAACCTTTAATTAAAATATTCAAGCTACATTTTTGAACAATTCTTTTTCGAAAGGACACGGAGTGTCTGTCTCCTTATCGTCCTGATTTAAAAACTTATCTTATCCTTCGAGTTAAAGTGTAATAAATCAATATCCACTAAACGCTGGACTGTAGTTTCTGTTGTGGCTTTCGACTCGCTTGGGTGACTGACGGGATGTCCACCCCAGGAATTTGTAGGGGATCCTTGGAGGAGTCTCCGTAAATCACAGACAATTGGATGACCATGAGGGCAAAACTTTTGCTAGCCAAAGTATTTGGCCAACTGTCGTAAAACAATAAAACGGAAGAGGGGGCCGAGCGGGATGATCCAAACGGAAAACCGAAGTAGAGATTTTCAAATACTTAACACCACTTAAGCGAACAGTTGGACAATGACAATGACGGAGGATTGGGAATTCCAGATGGCACGGGGACGGTGATTGTTAAGCGTAATTTAGCGCAAGAATTTTTATTAAAATTTTCCATTTTTTAGCAGCTAAACTTTTGTTTTCTGGACCAGCCGTAGTCACTTGATCGATTGATGGAATGGGCAGCAAATGAAATAAGTTTTTATGGGAAATTAAATCTGGGAGAGTTGTGACTACATGCGGTTATGAATAGGTGCCCATATCCCCCAGAGAGATTTTAATTGAAGTTTTTAATGAGCAACTGGGTTTCAGAGTTTCTCCAGTTTCTTTTGATAAAGTTTCCCTCTAACTTATAAGGACATTTGCATTCAGCTTTGTGTTTGAAAAGAGGCAGCAGGGTCAGAACAAGTCGAGCAAATACTCCAGGAACTCACAGGTGACAAAAGAACAATGGAGTTGGCATCCAGGACATGTGCACTCAATGCGCAATTACATTCATAAAATCCCTGGTAACACCCATCCAGTAACCCAACAGCTCAACACTAGCCGTAAAAGTTTTTCGGGTTTAAAGCCGACGGAAAATTGAAAAACCACTAATTAAATTAAATTTTTGGTTTCACATTTTCGATGAATTAGATGGCCTGTCAGAGGTAAAAGGAGCTGTTTGCTTGGCCCAGCCATCCATGCTTCCTTGCGGGTCCTGCTCACCTATAGGTCCTTTCAATTAATTTGGCAACAAACTTTGGCCCGTTGTTTGCACAATTTGATAGCCGAAATGGTAAAGGGAGAGTTCCGGCTTTCCATCCTGGACTTGTTGCTCCCTCTCCGGGGAAATTCCGAACCCTTGTCAACCTGAAATGAAGCTCCGCTGAGGTGTCAAAGACATGCCGGCCATCAATTTCCCCAGCTGGCTAGCAGCCCAGCTGTCCAACAGTCCCTGACCCCGTGGCGTATGCGTGATATTTTCAAATAGAAATTCAAATTCTCAAAAACGAATTCAAATGAAAACTCATATTCTGCTCACATCCGCCGTGGTTTGCTGTATTTTAAATTTTGTTTTTGTCATTTGGGTTTGGAGTGCTGACCGCTGCACTTTTCATTCTCATTTTATTTGGTTAATTACGTTCACGGCAAATTGCATTTCTGTGGCTTAAATGGCCGCAAAATTTGTTAACAAAATATTTGCGAAAGCATTTTTGCCCAATTAGCCAGTACAGGTATGTATATTATTTTGTATTTTCAGATCTTACACCCAACACAATTTTCTAATGGAATTCTTAGAGTTACAGGCTAAAAATATATTAATAAACTCTTACAACTTCTTAGTGCATAGCTGATAATGGCAAAAATGTGGCAGCATCTTTTCTTTTAGTTTGACAGGTTTTTGCCTTCGGTGATTAAATGAGAATGCCTGGGTAGAGCGCCACAAAGTATGCAGCTGCAACAATGCAGCTTGCCTCAAAGATTTTACTCCGCCAGAGTGCACTCCACCTGAAATTTCGAAATTCAGCCCGAGGACGGAAATTCCCTTCTCCTAATGATTTTTAATAGCCAAATTGCATGGGCTGACTGCCAAGGACCTAGGGCCAAGCCAGGTTGCAGCTGCCTTCGTCCTGGAAATTCCTTCTTGAAAGCGTATTTGTGGTCACACTCCAGCCTGGCACACACACTCTTGATGTGGTCAATAAAGTATGCAAAGTGTTGGCCAAAAGGGGGTGGAGGTGGAGACGGAGGTGGAGGCGGAATGACCATCCTGCCGCCCTTAAAAACAAATTAGTGGCGCTTACTCAACAAGATTGAGTGGCTCGTGTATCGCTGTCATCGTCATCGTTGGCATACTGGATCCAGAAGCGCGACCCAGGGGTTCATATTTATATCCACCAGAAATCACAAATTGTTGGTTAATTAAATAAAATTAACACGGAAAGCAACAATTAGAAGTCATTAAAAGTAAATTAAAATGATTTATAACTTGATTTTTAATTGTCCCATTTAATTTGATTTTTTTTCGTTTAGTGGTACAAATATGAAGAGTTTAAAATATCCCTTTTCCTGAAAATAAGTTTTAGAAAAAACCAATCCCCTTTCTTATATAATCCTACCACCGCCTCTGCCTATTGATTACGCACTTGCTAATGCAGGAAAAGCAGAAAAAGTAGGAAAAAATCTGAACTTAATTAATGAAAGAGCCTGCGGCCATTGCTCCTTGATCCTTCGCCTCTCTCAGATTCCAGTGTGCATCTATTTATGGGCCATAGATATTAACTGATGAATATTTATGCGAAATCAACAGCCAAGGAGCCGAGGCAGGGAGCCCAAGGATCTCTGCCATGATGACGCTGCAAATCAACAGTCGAGCATAATTTTTGTTAATAAAAGCGTGTAATAATTTGTTCCAGGGGTGGGGTGTTTGACCCAGCAGCATGTGTTGCCAATGAAATTATGTAAATGTGACGGCAACAGAAATGTACATATCTGCAACTGAATTTTGTATCTTTTCGGGAGGTGGGGGCCGTGGTTGGACCGCAGTGGCCAGAGGGGGACCCGGCTCGCAACCAAAAACATGGCTTAATGTTGATTAGATGCATTAAATATGCAAAACCCAGACACCCAGCCAACTCGTCGCATTCCGGCAGTTGTTGCTATTTGGTCCAAACAATAAACGGCAGCATAAAATAGATATGTGGGCGCATTGCAATATTTACATGGATGTGTGCGGGGGAAATGAAATTAGCGCCGCGTTTTAACGTTTGCGCGGCAATTGAATAACTTTAATTGGTAATAAAGCCATGAACAAGCCCACATGGAACCGGAAATTGCGAAATTACAACTGGCAAAGCCAATCAGAGGAACTATCCCCATTTCCTCCCCAAACACTGTTTTGTATTTTTTTTTTGCCGCAAGCTGTTTACGATCCCTGCAACTTTAATAGTAAATAACAACAATAACAGGAGCGCCGCAGGAGCAGCTGCGAAGCTGCGCAAAGTTTTCAGGACCAGGAGGACAATGCAGAAAAACAGAAAGCTTGCCAGGGAAAACCCGGAGAAAAGAAAAGTTGGAAAACACTTTACTTTGATGACCGTCCAAGTCTCTTGCTCTCGACGTTGTCGCCATGGTTGCCATTCAAATGGCTCGCTTAATTTTACACTCGCCGGGGGATTGTGGCGACTTTTGAATAACTCCTGTCTTCGTTAAGGTGAACATATTGTTCACTTCAGGCAAATATTGAAATTGTGTTTCCCCACAAAGAGAAAGTATGAAAGCATATACATGATTGCAATGTGTCAAAAGGTTCGAAAGAGCTGCGGCATTTTTATTTTCAACAAAAAATGGGTTTTCCTCATACCTTAAGCCTGTTAAAAATCGAGTAAAATAAATTAAAGGGGAAATATTTTTCTGACTGACATTAAGAGTATTAAAAATGTCATTTGGATCCCAGTTTTCAGCTGATAGCCGATAGCTAGGCCAAATCATTATCGATTTCCTGATTGGGGCCCCCAATCGCGCTCGCTGGGACTTATCTGGAAAAAGGGTGAGCTCCAAGTGCCACTCGGGGCGCTTTGACAAAAAGTTTCTTTTGTACATATTATTTATGCCTGCTTCCCGCCAAAGGCTCACCACAAAAAAAAAAAAAAAAAATAGAAGGTAAAGCCGGAGGTCCCTCCAATACAAGTTGTTCCTGTCACGACTGTTATTGCTCTTTTATTTGTATTGGGAAGGAGGCAGACTCCGTTTTACTTTGGCTTAGGGCCTTTATGGTCTGTTGTATTTTTTAATTTATGTAGCAGCTGTTGCTCCATCGCAAAATGTCAAATGCATTTGCGGGGGATCGCCGGGGATTTCGATTCAATTCGGTTCGGAGGGCAAAAGTCAAAGCCGAGACTCATAATGTGTTAAGTTTTCGCCAAACTGAAGTGAGTGGCTCGTGCTCGTGCTCGAGTTGTTGGCAAACAGTTTGGCTTCCCGACTCGTCCTGGCCCTCCATCTGGCCAGAACTTCTTCACTTCAAGTGGCACAAAAAGTTTGGCCCAAAAAGAGGCCAGCAAACTAATTATTTAGTTTCGCTTCGTTCCGTTTGGCAGCGGCAAATGCCAAACGTCAGCCCAATATCAATAAAAACTCCAATCGAGATCTATTTCAATTAACTTGTTAAAAAACTTTTTAATTAACGGCACTGCAGAGTCTGCTGTGCCCTGAAGTTGCTGTGCCCGCTTCCTTTTGCCAGATTCCCTTGATTTCGCATAAATTTATGGCTGCGCCTAATTGGTCAACAATAAAGTGAGTGAAAGCCAGGTGGGTACATAAACGCTTGCCGGCAAGGAAAAACTAAAATAAAAATCGAGAGAGACAACGGCAGCAATATGTAAATGTTTATAAATCAAGTTGCGACTGTTGGCTGTGACAAGTGGTCGACTGTTTGGACACTCGAAATAAATAAATAAACAAACAAACGACCTGCTACCTCCGACCAGCGACCTGCGACCTGCAACCTGCGGCCCGTGTCCTGGTTAGTTCAACATTC